ACCTGTGCTTCGAGGTCCTGAGGACGACAGCGGGAATCGGGTGACAATAAATCAAGAGAGCTGTGGCCGAGAGTCCTCCCAGTGGTTCTTCCGCTCGTCGCAACGCAGCTCTGTGCCGACACCATCAACCAGAAGTGGTTTCAGCAGGATTGGAGACTATGCTTGCACCGTCCTGAAGATCATGCATTGTCTCCGAGAGTGGATGTGAGATCGCGTAATTTTCAGTCAGTGCAACGCCATTGAATGGCCTCCGCGGTCACCTGACGTTACACCTTCATATTTTACAACGGAAAGGTTGTCTTTTAGGACAACCCAACGAGCCGGGAAGAACTAAAGGATGATCCCTCCGAGCAAACATAAGCAGCATCTCACCATGACCAGAGAATCGCTCCAGAATAGTGGAGGAAGTAAAACACAGTCTATTCGTGCACGCGGCCCGAAATGGTAGCCATGCAGAAAAGCAGCAAATGTGGGGCTACGAGCCAATGTATTGACTCATATGTATATCAGAATAAAATTTTATAAAATGCTCTTTCATATGATGTCCTATTTATTTCTATCCATCGCGTATTTTTGGCGGTGTGGCCAAAACAAATGATGACCTTACTTTTGGGACACCCTGTATGTTACGTGATAGGCCGTTTCTGAAAATACTGACACATTTGTTTTGATATTTGGAGATAATCGCTGCATTTGAATGCTCGTATTCAATACACGATACGAAAGAATGATGTCTGGAAAATGGCTTGACAGCATGATAGCATCAGTGGTATCATTCATCATGTCGTATTACAGTACGAAGGAAAAAGCTAAGGTAGTGCAATTCTACTTCGAAACCAAATCAGCTGTTTTGACACAAAGGCACTTTAGGGTCCATTTTAACGTTTAAGCTGCGCCTCCCAGGAACACTATCCTTTCTCTATCTGAAAAATATATCAGAGTCCTCCAGAAGTCGTTTTCGGGAAGACAAAAGTGGAACAGAAACGATCCAAATAATCTTCACGCTCGTTAAGAATGACCCAAAAAAGTCCCACCGACACCTCGGGCAAGACGCAGGGTGCAGCAGCTCCACAGCGCAAATGATCCTGAGGAAGGATTAGGATCTTCAGCTGTATCCATACAGGCTTGCTGTGTTGAACAAGCTAACGGAAGCCGACAAGATCGCTCGTTCTGCATTATGTGAATGTTTTTACAGAAGTGCAGAGAAACAGTGGGACTTCTGGAGAACGGACGGCAGAGTCAACTCCCAGAGCAACCGGAACTGGAGCGAGAATGCCCCAGCCGAGGTCGCAGAACGCCAGCTGCACCCACCCCGATGCACTGCGTGGTGCGCTGTGAGCAGCACGGGCATTATCAGCCCAATCTGGATCGAAGTTGACGCGGGCGAGGTCCCACAGTGACGGCAGAGCGTTATCTGCAGTCTGCACCCGCTCAAGAAGTCCTCGACTGCGCTCCAGAGGAAGTGTGTGGACACCATCAACGAGCAGTGACTGCAGCAGGATGGTGCCCCTGCTCATGCAGCCACTGTGACCCCCGAGTGGCAGCAGGAGCGCTTCGAGGGGGGGGGGGGCGGCTCATCTCTCGAGGCACCCCCACAAGTCATTTTGAGTCGAATTTAGCTTAGGTCAGGTGACTTTAAGGTCAAAAAGGTCAAATTTTGAAGTTAAAATTTTTCAACAAAAAAGGTGTATATTGGATGCAGTTTGAGCTCAGGAACACGTTGGTGCTATTTATATTGGTGTACGATGTCAAATTCGTACTGAAAAAAATAATTTGAAAATTAATAATTGTGAATTTTTTGCAATAATGCAAAAAAACGGAACTTTCAGAAGTCGTTTTCGACTTGACGTCACTCTGACGTCATTTCCGGCCGACCTATATGGTAGCTACGATCAGATGCAGAGAACGTGCCGATCAGATACGTATACCGTTTAAATGCAAATCGTTCAGCTATATACCTACGGACCTACCAGCCCAGGCATGGGACGATCAGTTACGGAGTATGTATGCATGTATTGATCTATAATTCATCCACAGAACATGGTTTTTCAGGACTAGCGTCTTATACAGTGTAAGAAGAACGGCAGGGCAGGAATAAAATAAGACGACAGCAGTTGATCATGAGCGAGTCGGGATACAACATGAAATGGTGTAATACAATGGACGAAAGAATACATTAAAAATACAACGCACGGAGTGAGCCGTTCATATAGGTACGGACCATATTCCGTGCCTCTCACATACGATCCCGTGGATGTCAGTGACCAGTACAGTCGGGTACAGGTTGATGGTCCACCACTCTTTATCCACCGGGTTGCTATGGCTCAGCATTGGCAGCAGCCGCCTGGTACCGGTAGGCTGTGCCGCATGACCCGAGAGTGAAACGGCACAGCCTACCCACACTGTATGACACCGGCTCGGGTCGCCTGGTAGAGCGATTTGACCGGCTTTTTAGAGCGATTTGATTTTGACGGCTGCTGCCAATGCAGAGCCATAGGAAACCGGTGGATGAAGAGTAGTGGACCATCAACCTGTACCCGACTACCGACCACTCCGGTCGGTCAGTGACCACTCGGGACTGTCAGTGTCAGTGACCACTCTGGGCTGTCAGTGACCACTCTGGACTGTCTGTCAGTGACCACTCTGGACTGTCAGTGACCACTCTGGGCTGTCAGTGACCACTCCGTACTGTCAGTGACCACTCGGGGCTGTCAGTGACCACTCTGGGCTGGCAGTGACCACTCGGGGCTGTCAGTGACCACTCTGGACTGTCAGTGACTACTCTGCGCGCGGTGGCAGTGACCACTCTGCGCGCGGTGGCAGTGACCGTTTAGGTGACCTGTCGGCTCTGCAGTCCCCGGATGAACGCCCGGACGGCGCGCCGCCCCAGGTCTCCTCAGACCAGAGAGCGGTGGCTGCCTTCCGTGTCCAGCGCCATTACCTTCAGAGCGGGCCGACCTAATGGCAGTAACTGACCTGACACCTAATGACCTAAACGGCTCCTGAATGACTAACAACTAATAACCGTCATTCCCACCGGCATTCAATTATGCCATTATGCTGTAAATTACAGCCCCGTCGGAACTGATCAGGCTCAAACCCATCGAGGAAAATGATGCCCATTGCTCGTATTGGGATACTGCTCCGCAGCTAAGCTCAGGCCGCTGTGCGTTCAGGGCCTCGTTCATAAAGCGAGTCCATAACTTACGCCGGTTTTTGGTCTTGTATTGCAAGTGCATGTGAAGCGATACATTTATTTCCCCTTCTCCCTTCTGTTCTTGCTTGCAAGATAAATAAATTCAACGATTCAAACTAACGTCATCGCTTCACATGCACTTGCAATACAAGACCAAAAACCGCCGTAAGTTACGGACTCGCTTTATGAAACGAGGCCCAGGAGCGGGTGTTTCTCGCTTTACCACCACACCACGCTGCTGGTCCGCAGACCGCGGCGCCGGCGACCTGCAGTGGCTGCCCGGCGGCACCGACAGAGCTCCGGAAACAGCGTCATCTGCCCTGCAGTCGGAGGGCTCAACGCCGTCAGAACAGTCAGAACTGGCACAGGGCATCATCAGAACGAACATAGAGCGTCATCAGAACGGACACAGAGCAGGCACAGAACATGATCAGAGCGGACAAAGAGCGTCAGCAGGACGGACACAGAACGTCATATGAGCGTCATCAGAACTGGTATGCAAGTACAGAAAACGGACACAGAGCGGTGGTGATTGAACTCCGCGATATCGCTACCCGCTCGGGGTGAGGACGGCGACTGCGGTAGGCATTCTCGGCTGTTTATGCGTCCGACCGGTGCAGTGCGGTGGTTAGTGATCCCCGGCTCTGAGACGGTTCATGTTCGGCGCAGTGGCTGATCCCGGTCGGTTTGGGGGTCTGTGCCGGTCCTAGCGGCTCACGGACGGTTCGACGCAGCATGGTTGGCTCCCGGTCGGTTTGGGGGTCTGAGCCGGTCCCAGCGGCTCACGGACGCTTCGACGCAGCATGGTTGGTTCCCGGTCGGTCTGAGGGTCTGAGTCGGTCTCGGCGGTTCACGGGTGGTTTGGTGCTGTGGCTGGTCTGGGGGTCTGAGCCGGTCCCAGCGGCTCACGGACGCTTCGACGCAGCATGGTTGGTTCCCGGTCGGTCTGAGGATCTGAGCCGGTCCCGGCGGCTCATGACCTCCTATACCGTCCGGTGGCTCGCGGCCCGTGTCCGCCCGGCCGTCCGTCACCGCCGCTGTCTGGCCCGGGGTCCGAGCCGCGTCCCGCCCGGGACGCGGGCCGTACACTCGCGGGCCACCTAGACCATGCTCGCCGTCTGCCGCCCGGCGCCCGGCGTCAATGATTCAGACGGTGCCGGGAAGCCGGTATTATATTCGGTGGTATTATATAGAGATGGGTCGAGCTCAGTCCCTTCAGTCCTGACTCCTGTGTGGAACCGCGGCAGACGCGATGAACTTCACCCGGCACTTCTGTATGGGTTTGAGAGCGGACGGGAAAGGGACGCCTCAAATACGGGATACGGAGCTGGTGCCACACGGATAGGTAGTAGGTAGTTAGGTACTGGATGTTCCGAGCCGTCGCGACACTGGTCCATCTTCCAATTCTTCATATCAGTCTCGGATCACAAGTTTCCCGTTCGAAGTTGTGGCCTGAGGGTTCTATGTGCTGATGAACGCTGGCCACGACGCTGAATTCACCTGCAGTTGGAAATGGTTGGCGATGACGCGGCAATGGCATAGGGCCATAGGGTGGGTGTCGGGTGTAGGGTGACGTCGGGTAGCTCAGTGGACGGGGACGCTCGGTATGATGTCGGGTTTACACTCTGTCGGGTTTACAGGATGGGCGAGGTGCAGGCTCACTCAGTCAGGACGTCACTATCAAATCACGGCGCGGGTTATCACTTCTCCCGGTATCCGCCTAAACATCTACAGACAGAGACTGGCGGCAGGTCTTCAAAAGCTCCTTCCAACTACTTCCAAGTTTAATCCTGAAAACAGACAATGCACTCTTTCATGTATTCAATAAAAACGCATATGCCTCACTGTTGGTACAAAACTGTTAGTGGCGCGCCGCCCGGAGTCGGCAGACGCGGCGAGGCCGGACGGGTGGGTCACATACCGGTGGACCACGGAGTAGCACCTACTGAGTAGCACCGGAGTAGCACCTATCAGCTGACGCGCCTCCACGGCGACAGAAGGTGAGTGTGTGCGGGGGAGGGACCATAAGTATCATTACATTGTCATCAGTGAGAGACTCAATAGATTGTACAAACACTCGCGCCGACATCGAATCACCCACCATCGTCCTCAAACATATTTATCACAAAAGCAGAATGTGGAGATGGGCTAAAATAAAACAAAGCGGCATAACGTGAGACTTAAATTAGCTATCGTGAGCTTATAGTACACAGATCAGATCCGGTGCGGCACCCAGTTACACCGGAGACCGCGGCCACGAGGAACGGCGGACGCCGGACTCCGCCTCTGCCGACGGCTCGCCACCGGAGACGAAAGGCCACCGGGCCAAACGTATAACATGAAATAGCTTATGAGTTGTGCGAGCCTCCTTTTTTTTAGGCTATGCAATAACACGAAAACTAGCTTCAACGAGGGCTGTTATCAAATTTGATCCGCTATCGGCAGCCCGTTATTCAAAGTGCCAGCGTATAACACGCGGGCTAAAATCCACACAATATTGCCATGAAACGCACTTGTCGGGTAACAGTGCGGAAAACATCACTGCCGCATGGGGCGGGCAGCGGCAAATGTGCACCACCCCACGTAGTCTACACAATCAATATCAACACAAGCGTAGGACTTGACTTGGAGCACCTGTGACGGCAAAGGTGCTCGCATATTCAACCAAAGTAAAAACGTGTCCGTTGACACAACAGAAGCCCACCGCTCGGCGAGCGAACATCATGCCCGCGAGTACCGCAGCACGCTCTCAGTCCACACACGCGGCACCTAACGGCTAACACAGTCACTAAAGCCCCTGTAGACGGCAGCACGCCCGACTTCCAAACAACGCCCGCAACACTGACTCAGACTGGAGATTCACAGCTGCCCCGCTGCGCCGCCTCAGCATCAACACTCCGTGCTGAACAAGCACTTACCTCCGCTCCGTCGCCGGGGCGCAGCCTCACGCGCACGCCAAGCAAGCCGCACACACGCACTCACTGACTAGGCCGTCACTTGAGCGGAGGCCGTCGGAGCTCGGGCTTTTTGGGCAGTGCCGGGGGCGCGCCGCGCGCCCGGCCGGCCCTCTGAGCGGCGGCGCCCGGCGGCGCTGGGGCCGCCGTCTCGGCCAGGTTCTGGTAGACGGCGGCCGGCGGCGGCGCCGCGGCGCGCGCTCGGCTCTTGTTGACGGCTGCGTACAGCGAGGTGTCCTTGTGGCGCAGCTCGGCGGCGATCTCCGAGAGCAGGTCCTCGCCGCCGGCGCCGGCCGCCTCCTCCGCCGGCGGCATGGCGTACACGTGATCCCCAGCCGGCTCGTCGATCGTCGAGTAGATGTTCTCGCCGCCGGGCGAGTCGCGCGCCGCCGCCGGCGCCTCCAGGTTGCAGTCGTCGTACACCTCATCGGCGGCGGCGGGGGCGGGCGCCGGCGGCGGGCGGGGCGGCGGCGCCGAGGGCCGCGCAGCCGCCGCCCGCCGGCCCGGCGGCGAGGTGGGCAGCGGCGGCGCGCGGCCCGCTGCCGCCGGCGGGGGGCTGGCCGGGGCCGGCAGCGGCACCGCCGACTCCGGCACCGACACGCTCTGCGGGATCGGCGCAGAGATCTGCAGACCCTTGAGCCGGTCCCGGTCGATTTTGGCCGCCTTGAAGCTCTGATTGGGATGGATGCCGCGCTCCGGCTCCGGCGAGCTCGGAGTCGACTTGTCGGCGCGTCGGAACATGCCGGACATGCGGGAGAGAGCCGAGCCGAACGGCCGCTCGGCCCGGTCGCTGCCGGCCGAGCGGTTGGACTCCAGCGTCGACGAGCGGCTGGTGTCCGAGCGCAGCGTCGCCGAGCGCGCGTCTGGCACCGCCTCCAGCGGGTTGACCACGCTGCGCGGCCGCGCCGTCTCCGCCACCGGCGGCGGCGCCGTGGGGCTGACCGGCGCCGAGGCGGCCACGGGCGTGGCGGCCGCCGTCGGCCGCGGCGGCGGCGGCGGACGGTCGCCCGGCTTGGCGGCGCCGCGCGCCGTGAACGTGGTGCGCGCCTCGGACGGCCGCGTCTGCTCCGGCGCCGCCTCGTCCCGGTGTTTGGTCTCCGCGGCCGGCCGCCGCGCCGCCGGCGCCGCCATGCCGAACGTCGTGCGACTGCTGCCGGCGGCGGAGGGCGGCGCGGGCGCCACCGCCGGCCGCGGCGGCTCCGGCGGCGGCGCCGACGGCGGATCGGCCGCCGGCTCCGCAGCCTTGGTCCCTTTCTCAATCCGGTCCACCTTCTTCATATCGAAGGTGGTGCGCGCGCCCTGCGGCGGCGGCGCCGGCTTCTCGGGGCCCGGTTTGCGCGGCTCGGCCTTGGTGTCTCGCTCCTTGAGTCCGCCGAAGGTGGTTCGCGGCACGTCCTGCGGCTGCGGGGGCCGCACCACCGTCGGGCGCACCTCACACACCCGGCGCGGCTCCGCCGGCGCGGACGGCTCGGCCGTCTCCTCCGTCTTCATCGGACGGATCGAGAAGCCGTTGAAGTGCCCGACCAGGTTGTTGGTGAGCTGGTCGCGCTTGGAGCCGGCCTCTGCCTGGGTGAGCGGCGCTGCCGGGTCGCGACTCGCCGGCGCCGGCCGCCGCACCGCCGCCTCCATCGCAAACGTGTCTTTGGACGGCTGCTTGCGGCCGGCAGACCCCGGCTTCCTGTAGCGGGGAACAAGGCGATGTTAGCAGCCAGAAGCGTCAAGCGGAAGCAGTGCAAAGCGAATAGGCACTAGGCGCCCTAGGCGGTGCATACGATTCATTAAAACATAATGTACAGAAGTTCAGTATCAAGGCGAACATCTTCAAATCCAGATCACGCACGTTATCACGAAACACTCATGTACCCGCCGTGTGGTCTGCCGACATAAAGTTCACGTGTCGCAGGTCGCTGCTAATCTAATCGTGAGTCTACACCCCTTGTCGCAGCAGACACCGTGACTGAAACCCGCAGGCCGTTGGTCCCGCGGTTAGCCGGGGCGCCGTGTACCAGCTCTGTGAGGTGTTCACGTCCCGTCAGCGGGGCGGCGCTAGTTCAGGTGCAGGTTGAGCCTGGCCCGCAGCTCGGCCACCCGCCCGCCGGCGGTCCGGCCCCCCTGGGCGTCTGCCCGTGGCCCGGCTGACGGCGGCCCCGCCCCAGGAGCGGGGACCCTGTGCCCAGCGCCGGCCGCCCCACGGCCAGGGCCAGGGTCGGGGCCCGCCGGCACGCGGGGTGGCTCGTTGGACTCGGTACGGGGGCCGCTCTCCCGGACTGTCTCCCGTCTGGGCTTCAGACTGGCCGCGGGCGTCGGCGGCGGGCCATTGGAGGACGCCAGACGACTCGGCCCGGCTCTGAGGCGCCCCGCCGGTCCCTGGGGCGGTCCCCCAGGCTCCGCGCGGCGCGCCGGGACGCTGCCAGGGGTGGTGGGTCCGCCCCCTGGCCCGCCGGCCGGCCGCGCCGCGGTGCCCGGCTCGGCGGCGGCCCGCGGACAGGCCGGCAGGGGCGGCGGCGGGCCGCTGGGACGGACGGAGGGCGCCGCGACAGGGCCGCCCGTGCGGGGCTTCTGTGACACGGGAGGGACGGGCGGCGGACGGCCGGGGGACGCTGGGACGGTACAGTGAGCCGACGGCGACTGGGACGGGATCAGGGGTCCGGACACAGCGCGATCCGACACAGGGTCACAGCCACCCCAGCCCAGAAACCTCAGCACGGAGGTACGCGGCGCAGCTCGGCGCCCTTTGCCCCGACTGTGCCCGGGAGTGGCCGTGTGCCGAGGCGGCGGGGCGGGGTCCCGGACCCCTCCCCGGCACGGAGCGCACCTGGCGCCGGTCGACGACAGCTGGAACAAGCTCAGCTGGATGTTGTTGCGGCGGACGTAGATGCAGCAGAAGACGAGCGCGGCCGCCGGCACCAGGCCCAGGAACACGACGAACAGAATGATGACGAACGTGCCGGCCGCTGCGGGGCGGGACAGGGGGGACGCCGGTCAGCACACTTTGCCGGCGCATTACAGCTATAGACGAGACGGACTGAAGCAAGATACTGACCGGTTCAGAGTTATACAATACACAGGCAGGTATGAGGTAGTTGAAGAGCTCAAAGAGATTGTCTGTGTGACTGATACTCCCACCAGGTGATAATAATCACAGTAGCGATATACAGCAGACAGCGCCGGAGGCTGTGAGTGTGCAGCGCCGCGTACCGGACTGGTCGAGCGCCGGGCCGCTGTCCTCGCTGCCGCCGTCGCCGGGTGTGAGGCAGTGCGGCGGACCCCAGCCCGGGTCGCAGTGGCAGTGGCCGGCCGAGTTGCAGACGCCGTTACCGCCGCAGCCGTGCGGGCACATACCGGCCGTCACCTCTGCCACAGGCACACACTTCTGCTCCACACACATCTGTCGACACACACCAGGTCAGACACACACAGACACACACATACCGGCCGTCACCTCTGCCACGGGCACACACTGCTGCTCCACACACATCTGCCGACAAATACACAACACAAATGACACAATCACAAACAAACGCCTATAGTCGGATTTTCTAAGCCCGCCGGATCGCTTTAAGTGCATGAATAAATACGGCACAAGAACTGGCACACACTAAGCACATAATAGGGAAATGCGTTGACTGGTCTGGGCTAGTTGTTCACATTTCTAATGGTCATACACCATATAAGTCATCACGTCTTGCTCTAACTAGATACAGTTGAAGTCCAGGACGGGTGACAGAAATTAGTAGACTGGGGATCGTAGCAGCCACAGTGGCACACCGTTGTCACACGGCGGCTGTGTGTGTCAGCTGTACGGACCGAACCTTTTTGTGTCCGCAGGGCGCGCCGTTGGGCACCAGGCCCGGGTCGCGCTGGCGCAGCCCCAGGTCGACGATGGCCGTCCGACACGGCACCTCGCGGCCCTCCAGGTTGATGAACGTGGCTGAGATGATGGCCGCCGACTCCAGGCCGAACTCGAGGCGCTCGTTCAGGTGCGCGCAGTGCAGCATGCCGCACATCACGTCCCTGACGGCGGCGGGGCAGGGCAGGTCAGTTCAGGTCAGGTCAGGTCAGTGCAGCATGCCGCACATCACGTCCCTGACGGCGGCGGGGCAGGGCAGGTCAGTTCAGGTCAGGTCAGGTCAGTGCAGCATGCCGCACATCACGTCCCTGACGGCGGGGCAGGGCAGGTCAGGTCAGGTCAGGTCAGGTCGGTGCAGCATGCCGCACATCACGTCCCTGACGGCGGCGGGGCGGGGCAGGTCAGGTCAGGTCAGGGCAGGGTAGGACACGGCAGGGCGGGGGTCGGTCAGGTCAGTTCAGGGCAGTGCAGCATGCCGCACATCACGTCCCTGGCGGCGGCAGGGCAGGGCAGGTCAGGGCGGGGGCCGGTCAGGTCAGGTCAGTGCAGCATCTCGCACATCACGTTACTGGTGCAGCAGGTCAGGTCAGGCCAGGACACTGCTACTGGTCTGGCGCCGCACGGCCGCAGTCGCACTGCAGCAGCCCCTGCGTGGCACTCCAGCTGTGGCGCCGCTGACCGCACCTGACCGTCAGGAGTCCTGGTCGGCACCGAACACTGCCGCAGTGAGCCCCGACCGACCCTGGGGACTCACTGGTTGAGGCAGTGGCGGTGCGTCTGGCTGAGCCGGCTGTACGGTCAGTCCAATAGATAACTCCCCTGCACTACTCACCGGTTGAGACATTTCTGGTAGGTCTGGTTGAGCCGGCTGTAGCCGCAGTTGCCCAGCCGGTTGCCCCTGGCGTTCTGGTAGTAGCAGTTGTCCACGGAGTTTTTGCCGCTGGGCCCCCACAGGATCTGGCACTGTTTGTCGCGGGTGCGGCACACGCCGCCGTAACAGTACGCCTGGCGACACGGCAGACCGTGAACCCACTCAGCCTACCGGGATATGCACCCCGGCCGGCCGCGGGCGGCAGGCTGGAGCCACCTGGCACAGGACAACGCACACGAACTGCATTCTGAGCTGCACACTCGGACACAGCTGGACCGGAAACCTGACGCCGCCGGGGTCATTGTAGAGCAAGAGTCATGAGAGTCCAAGTCATACCACCAGCAAGAAGGGTAGCAATGCCCAATCCAGCGCTGGCTGGGCCGAATGGCTACCTCCTATAAGAGGTGGCTTACCTACAGCGACAGGTTCTGACAGTAGTTAAACAGTCGTCTACGCTAAACTCCTCCACCCCATCACCACAGTACCCAATCACACAATGCAGTCCGTACTGCGTGGCTCCCCGCCCTGACACCCAGTGGTCCGTACCTCCCCGCCAGGAAACTGGAGTCTGTAACCCACCCTGACCCTCGAGTCCGTCCGTAACTCCCGCCCTGACCTCAGTGGTTCGTACTTCGTACCTCCCCGCACTGGCCCTCTGCGGTCCGTACCCCTAGCCCTCAGTGGTCCTTACCTCCCCGCCCTGGCACTCGAGCCCGTCCTGCTTGTGCACGTCGTCCGGACAGAACTCGGAGGCTCCGGTGCAGTACTCGGACAAGTCACACTCGTGCTCGGCGCCGCGACACTTGACCCCGGCCCGCTTCGGGCGGCACACCTGGTGACAGCAGGGGGAGGTCACACAGGCGGCAGGGGTGGGGGCGGGTCACACCAGGCGGCAGGGGTCACACCTGGTGACAGCAGGGGGCGGGTCACACCTGGCAGCAGGACGGAGGGGGATACACCTGACAGGAGGACGGAGGGGGTCCCACCTGACAGGAGGACGGAGGGGGGGGGGCGGGTCACACCAGGCGGCAGGACGGATGGGGGGGGGGGGTCAGACCTAGCAGCAGTGGGGATACAGCAGCGGTCCGGGTCTGGACAACCGAACCAAATAGGTATAACAACGGGATCTTCAAAGTGAGTGGTACTACATGAACTAGTATGAACTGATTATACCGTTTTAATTTGATCCAGCAGCTCAGTAAACACACGGTGCGACTATGGCCGCGGTGCGGGCGCCGGCACCACTCACCGTGAGGTCGCAGCACTGGCCGGTGGCGCACACGGCGCCCTCTCTCAGCATACACGTGGGCGCATCACAGCACGGGTTCTGGCAGTCGTCCGGCAGGCCGCAGTCGCACTGTTCGCCCGGCTCCACGAACCCGTTACCGCACACCGGCGACTCGTACAGGCTGCGGAAGGACGGAGTGTCACACCGGCGACTGGTGCAGGCTGGGGACGGACGGACATACAGCGTCACACCGGCGACTCGTACTGGCTGCGGACGGACATACAGTGTCACACCGGCGACTGGCTGGGGACGGACGGACATACAGTGGCGACTCGTACAGGCTGCCGACAGACATATCGTGTCACACCGGCGACTGGCTGGGGACGGACATACAGTGTCACACAGACGACTGGCTGGGGACGGACATACAGCGTCACGCCGGCGACTCGTACAGGCTGGGGACAGACGGGCATACAAGCGTCACACCGGCGACTCGTACAGGCTGCGGACGAAAAAACAGTGTCACACCGGCGACTCGTACAGGCTGCGGACGAAAAAACAGTGACACACCGGCGACTCGTACAGGCTGCGGACAGACGGACGGACATACAGTGTCACACCGGCGACTCGTACAGGCTGCGGACGGACATACAGCGTCACACCGGCGACTCGAACAGGCTGCGGACGGACATACAGCGTCACACCGGCGACTGGCTGGGGACGGACATACAGTGGCGACTCGTACAGGCTGCGGACGGACATACAGTGGCGACTCGTACAGGCTGGGGAAGGACATACAGCGTCACATCGGCGATTGGCTGGGGACGGACATACAGCGTCACACTGAGCAACCCGTACAGGCTGGGGACGGACGGACATACAAGCGTCACACGGGCAACTCGTACAGGCTGCGGACGGACATAGTGTCACACCGGGCGACTGGCTGGGGACGAACATACAGTGCATACGGGCGACTGGCTGCGGACGGACATACAGTGTCACACCGGCGATTGGCACATGCTGCAGATAGAATACAGGAGGAGGGCCAGATACTGGCGGTACTTTGGGACCGGGAGAGGCAGCAATGCCTTTTTCTGTGCATAACTAAACTGAAAAACGAAAACAACTAGACCAGGAAAAGGCTGCGCGAAAAAAAAACGCAGTATCCATTCATAACAGCAACAGAGCGACGTTCTATGTTCTGAGCCACAGGAGACTGCGTGTCGCAGGGTCACTGAGGAGAAATCAAAATGTGTCCCCACCCTGATTATGTAATTAGAGACGGTACACGGTGGCGGACCCCTCAGCTCGGACCACCATTCAGCGTGTATGTGCTGCAGTGGCAGGTCCTCATGGGTGATTATTTGTCCCCGTGCTGGTGGCGTGGTGCCTGTCAGTCACTCGCCACCTCCCACCCAGCGGGCACGCTTTCGCCGAGCTGGCGCCATGGTATGACTAATTACTGTCTGCCAGAGAGCAATGACCAGCGCCAGTAGTAGACACCCGAGCTTCAGCGAGACACTCTATTGCAGCCGGACGAGCAGACGGATGCGCACAGCACGGCGCCAACACACACAATACCGGCCCAGCCGGCGGTCACTCGAGGCGCTCACGCTCTCGGCAGGTCACCCTAACACTAGTGACTCATGTTACCACCAGGTGGCTAGACCAGCGCACAGCGGGCGCGGGCTGGCGTGACCACTTTTTTTCTTAGTAAATAAAAGAAACCCTTCTCAAAATACAGGTGCAACATTGCACAAGAACATACTGCAAAATGCAAACGCAGACAACGCTAACTGGACACAGGCGCAAATAAGTAACAAAGAAATGCGTGATTGAGTAAATAACAGAATAAACGCAAAACAAGGCATCGGTTCATAGCATTGCAGGGAACTAACGGAGGGACACTACATAATCTTTCAAATGACCCGGTAATCTAATTTGACGTCGCGGGCGGCCGGCGGCCAGGGACGGCGGAGCAGGGGGAGGGGGTAGCGGAGCAGGTAGAGAGGACGTCGGCACCCCAGAGACAGGCTGACGAGGTGTGGGAACGATGGCGATCTCAGCAGGAATAGGGGACGATGAATCAGCTGCAGGAGGGGTAGTATCGTCATCTGATGACTCGTCACCAGAAACGGGCTCCAGCTCCTCCACAGCACAGGGCACGAGCAGGCACTCACTCAGACGGAACTGGTACTCTTTGGAACGGAGTTGCGAGCAAGCGAACTTACGAACAGAGCACCATTCACCATCAACAGCCGTGACCAGATATCGAGGACGAGCTCTAGTTTTGTCGCGGTCTCCGGCATGGTAAATCAGATCGCCGGGGGCAGGCTGCACAGGGGGCACACGGCGATGCGTACGAGACTTTGACTTGTAATCATATGGATGATTATGGACTCTAGACGCATAGCGCTGAGCGATAAGCTCACGGTCAGAGATGCTGAGAGCGGAAAGCGTGTACTGATCACGCGCATAGAACATTTCGAATGAGGACATACCACCGAGACGAAGGCGGGAGTTCAGACGCGAAATGGCGATAGCCAGGGTCGCCAGTGAGATCGCGCCGCCATCAGGATTGATGCGCCTTAACTCACTGCGCAGCTCGCCGATGGCATGTTCAGCGGACGGGTTCTTGTTCTTGTTATGCACACGACCGACCTCCAAGCGGATGCCAACCTTCTTGAGGGCGTCACTGGAGGACAGAGAGACGAAACATGGAGCTGGATCAACGCGCACCGTGACAGGAGGCCCGTCAACAGCTCGCAGACACAAGCAGAGAGAGATTAAAGCTGCTTCAATGGTAGCAGCACGCTCATCACTGACAAAACAAGTGAGTGTGTGCGATGTGACGGTTTCACGAACTACTAAAATCAACTGACGCTCATGGTGCATGATGTCTGCGGCATATGATACTCCCACGGCTGGGGGAGGGGATGTGGAGCTCTCCACGAGCGGCAAAGTGAGCTTTTTCAGCGCGGCACAAGAATGACAGCTGGCATATAACCTTGCCAGATGTGCATCCAAATCGAGCACATAAAAGTAGCGTGAGAACACCTGTTTCAGTTGATGCTGAGTAGGATGTTGGAGTTTTATGTGCAACGCACACAGGAGACCAGCAGCCACCTGACGGGAGACAACTATGAGCTCTCTGGACGGAGAGAAAGGTTCGTCACGTTTGACAACCAGCAGACCATCTCTAGCGATGGAGACGGTCTGCAGATACCGTTTGACGTCACGGATTTTAGTCTGTTTCCGTGAAGGCCGCGTGCCCTGAGATAGGTGAGCCTTGGTGCGACGCAAATCTGCACAATCCTGTTGGATCGTGAGCCATGACTGGCGCCCTGTGAAGGGCAGACGGCACGATCCAGACATGACGTCACTGACAGAAATATGGCGGACTGTGGCCTCCTCCATGCGAGACACAAATGAACAAATCTGGCACGCTGCATCGAGACATGGAGGGGCATTTCTGCTCGAGAAGTCACTGGGAAGGTTCGCAGAGCCTGCGAGGTGGCGCACAGATATGCAATAGCGACTGATGGTCGAAAGGAATGTAGATACACGAGGACTCGCAGAAAATTCCCCGCGGCCCAGCTTATCGAATGCCTGCACGCAAGGCTTGCTGTCGGTTAGCACACAGACGTGAGACGAGGCCTGGCTAATAAAAGGTGCAAAGTGCTTTACCGCCGTGGCGATAGCGAGAGCCTCGATTTCACATGGAAGCCAGTTGATCTGGTGTTTGCGTAGCTGTGCGCTGAAAAAGCCAGCTAGCATGGTACGCCCCTGCCGCGTCACATACAGCGTCGCACCGATACCGTGAAGTTTGCTGGACCCGTCAGTGACAATCCAGAGATCGTCCGAAGGGCGCGGTATAACGACGGCACGGTGATGCTGCAGGGCCGACTGAGCCCGCTGGAAGGTGGATAACAGCTCGTCTGTCCACACGATCACCTCAGATGACTCGCGGCCGGCACAAACTGCGTCCAGCGGAGACATGTAGTGTGCCGTCCCCTTCACGACTCTGCTGAGAACCTTGTAAGCACCGATAAAGCTACGAAGGTTCTTTACCGTGCGAGGGGGTTCCGCGGAGGTCAGTGTCGAAACACGGTGCGGGCTGGCAGAAAGCTGACCGTCAGACCAGACCCAGCCGAGAATGGTGACGGAGCGAGGGCAGATAACCGTCTTTGAGGGAGAAAGACGGAGGTCACAGTGGTCGAGTGCCTGTAGAACCAGGCGCCACATCTCGAGCGCCTCCCCAGGTGTGGCACCGCCACAAAAGAGGTCGTCAGCGATTTTGGCGACCTTGCCATCCTGGATGAGGTCACCGAGAACACGGCTCATGAGTTCCTCCAGAGCTGATTCCGAACCAGGCAATCCCATGGCACAGCGGGTGTATACACGAACACCTTTGAATGGTGTAACCACCCCGCAGTACTTCAGACTCGAGCGTGCCAAGGGCACCTGGAAGTATGCCTTCGTCAAGTCGGTCACGATGATGTACTTCCAGCTACCAATAATGCGTAAGGTGGACTCAACGTCCGGGAGCAGCGAGGGCTGAGGCTTACAAAAGCGACCTACAGTGGTGAAATCTGTGACGAGGCGACTTCCGCCGCTAGGCTTTTTTACCAGAAAGGAGGGGTGGACATATTCCACCGCCACGCCAACATCCTCAGGCTTTCTGACGACACCGAGGGCCTCCAGTTCGTCGAACTTCGACTGAAGTTCAGACAGCCGCTGACGGTTATACTGAGGCAAATGGCCTCTGCGCTGAGGAGGTTGGACCGCGCCGATGTTCACAGTCCCGTGAATGTCTCCAACAGCGCCGTTGTAGCCAGGGAAAACAGGCTCAAACACCGAGTCATACTGCGCGATAGTAGCAGCAAACTCGGCCCTTACAGAGTCCGAAAGCAGTCCATGAGGATCAATGGACACCAGAGTGGCTGAGGAGCCCGGCGGAGACTGTGGAGGTGCCGGAGAGCAAGCCGGCGCCGGAGAGATCACGGGTGGTGACGATACGGAAAATATTTTGCAGAAGTGAGAGTTTTTCTGCAGCCTAAGAGGTGAGCCGGTGTTGTTTGGCACACGAATTTTGCCGTCAACCACAGCGGTAACAGCTGGACTAGGCCATGGACCGGACCCAGGATCCTGGACGGGAGAGGAGGCCCACGGCTCGACGGACACGGCGACGTCACGGTCTATGTCAGCAACCTCCAGCTCGATGAAGTCACCGGGCCACAGAGTTACTGACCGAGATGGAGAGCGGATCAAACAGCTCGCAGGACGTGGAGAGGGCTGGTTGGAGACATGAGAACGGGCACGGTAGAGGAAGATGACGTCACCTCCGATGGATACCGAGCCATCCGCGGGCCGCACAGACACATCGTTTCGGGACATAAAGGGAGTGCCGGCAAGGACCTCGACGTCAAGGTCCTGAACCACCAGAGCCTGAAGGGTCATCTCAAGGGAGCCACGATGCAATATCAGAGTTGTTTCTCCAATTACGTTGAGCTTAGAGTGACCATCAGCCTGAAAGGCATTCTGAGTCGTCTTTGAGATAGGGGCTCCGACTAAAACGGCTACTGTGTCACGAATCAAGTTAATTTCCGCGCCCGAGTCGAGAGTCAGGCGGAGAGGGACCGACCCACAGTGCACGGGTAAAAACGGCGAAGGCTCGGGCTGGATGCGACGCGCGGGAACATCGGACGAATCATTGATATTGTCACGAACACACTCATTGACCTCATTGACAGCTGAATCATGACCATAGTCAATCACACCAGTAGATGAAGACTCGGGTTTAGTGCAACTGCCCATCTCAAGCTCTGAATACGTATCTACCTCATCACTAGAGGCAACACATACCTGGTTGTCAGAGTCCGTCTGTGAGAGGCGAGATGCACCCTCAGAGTCCAAGTCCTCACAGAGGTCGTCGCATCCGGCGATGAGACGTACGCCAGCCATGAAGCGACGATCCTCGATGGGCAAGAAGCGGCAGCGACTCAAAAAGTGCGAGTCGGCACCTGGACGACCGGCCGCCACGCAGAGTGCACATGTACGCGAACGCTGACCGCGGCCGCCGCGCCGCTCACCCCCAGACAGGTCAGCCGAACCGGACCGGCCGCCGCCGAGCGCAGGGGCGGAGCGGCCGGCAGCCGGCGCGGGCCGACCGCCGGCGGGCACGGCCGCTGGCCGGCCCGCAGAGGCGGATCCAGCCAGCTGATTGCGGGGGCGAACTTGCTGGAAACTGGCGATTGCAGAACGCAAAACTTGCGCGTGTTCTCCAGACTGCAGCTCCGCGAGAAGAGAGTCGATAGACTGACTGATTTCCGGCTTCAGAGATGCCAGGGTACGGGTTCGCAACTCCGGGCCGTAACGCTGCTTGACGAGGGCCGGAAGGCGCGGATGCAGTAGCGAGAGCCAGTGTAGGACGATGAAGTTCTCCAGAGATGGCGACATGTCCTCATCCGACGACGGCAGGAGGCCGTGATGAGTGACGTCATGGTCGGACTTCAGCAAATTGTCCTCGGCGAACGCCATAAGCCGCTGGAACAGATCCTCCGGTCGTTCGTCAGATTGCAGCTGAATTGCAGCGAAATCAAGCAAATGAGAGCCTGATGACTGGAATCCAAAGTGAAGCCGGATTGACTGCCAGATCTGCTGCAGCGACGTGGAGTTTTTCACAATGGAGTTGCGAGCGATGATCGGGCAGAAATTGGCAATCTGCCCTAACATGAGCTCGAGCTGGACTGTCTTCTGAGCGGCGGTGAGACGACTGGAGGCGGGGACGTTCGAGCTGTCGTCGGAGAAGCCACGTGTCGGACAGTCAGCCGTCTTCTTTTGCCACACGACTCCCTGCTCGAGAAACTTTGCGAAAATACTATCGAGCGACAGGGTATAGAGCAGGTTTTGGCGCCAACTCTCGAATGACGTAATTGTCTCGTCTTTCGTCAGTGACCACTGCTTCGGGGCACGAACGCCCGCCATCTTGGCTCCAAGTCCGGTGCGTAGAGCGCTGGCGATGCAGATTGAGCAAAGCTCGCTGATCCTTGCAGAGGAGAAGCAATGTCTTGCGTGGCACTAGGAGAGGTGGGCAAAGGCGCTGCCACCACGCCAGTAGTAGACACCCGAGCTTCAGCGAGACACTCTATTGCAGCCGGACGAGCAGACGGATGCGCACAGCACGGCGCCAACACACACAATACCGGCCCAGCCGGCGGTCACTCGAGGCGCTCACGCTCTCGGCAGGTCACCCTAACACTAGTGACTCATGTTACCACCAGGTGGCTAGACCAGCGCACAGCGGGCGCGGGCTGGCGCAGACCAAGCAAACCGACAGACGGACAGATGGACGGACAGATGGACGGGGACGGACACACGGATGGACGGACGGACGGACGGACGGACGGGGACAGACGGACGGACGGACGGACGGACGGGGACAGACGGACGGACGGGGACAGACGGACGGACGGGGACAGACGGACAGACGGACGGACTGCGGCGCGTCCGCCGTCCGTTCCACAGACATAAACAGAGCTGCGGTTTGGTCAAAACAGAGCGGGAGGGTTCGGAGCCGCGAGCATCTCCGCTGAGACGAGTCGGTGCTACCGGCCCCCTCTGTCCGGTACATGCCGCTATTGGTTGACCCGACCGGCGGCCGATAGATCAGAGCGGTCAGTCCGAGCGGCCGATAGGTCAGAGGGGCCAGCGGGCCGTGTACAAAACACTCCACTCGGTAGTCTCTCACTTGCCCGTATATTACAGAGATAGGAGTCCGCCCTGTGTGTGTCAAGAGACAGAAGTCCGCCCTGTGTGTATAAAGAGACAGGGGTCCACCCCGTATGTGTTACGGATACAGAAACCCGTGCCGTATTCTCACCTGGCCGGCTTGTTAGTGGGATGATAATCCACCCCGTGTCCTCACCTGGCCGGCTTGTTGCGCAGACAGTAGTCCATGCCATGACCGAACGCCTGTGTCAGGTAGTTGAGGCTGCACTTGCTCCAGTGGTTGGGGCTGATGGAGCTGCGGCAGCACGAGCACATGAGTCAGTCTGGCGCCCGGCGGAGGCGGCAATGCGCAGACCGCGTCACGGCGCAGGCAGGGCGGTCTGACGCAATTGATCGACTCAGGGCAGGCGTCACGGAGCTCAGAGCTTTCCCGAACTAAATAACGCAGCTCCAGGGCCCCGGCAGTAATTTAACTCTAGATGGACTGTAAAAACGATAAAAAGTCTGGCACGAAAACACCACTAAAATCGGAAGAAAATTCTAATGAATTCAATGCAAGATCCTCCAAGTGAAGGCTCAACAATCAACATAACCATTTCAGTCTCAAAATGAGTAGAAATACAGTTTGTGGGCACTTTAAGTATAAAGCCCGGACAATATTCCTTTGCAAAACATTTGACACCCAAGTGGACTACCAACAATCATTCATAGCTTTACTAGCCCGCTATGCTTACCCATCCTATCCGCGGGGCGGCCCCTCCAGCCGTGTGTTTTGGTAGTTGTGTTTGGATTAGCCCCTGCCCAGTACCCTCCCCATGCAGTGTCAGCTCGCGGTGTTGCGGACCCGTGCACCGGGGCTGGAGCGGGCGCCCCGGCCGACACCGACACGACGAGCAGTGAGGTCAGCGGCAGGCACCACCAGCCTCCGACGGCGGGCGGTCCGAGTGGAGTGTCGTCACTGACCACTGACGTGGTGACGGCCGATACGTGACGGGACCACTTGGGGACGTGAAACACCGATACGGCAGTAAGAACGCCGTGCTTTCTGTTCAATAAAGCAGCTATCGTAGCTGGGGTGGATACAGTGGTAGTCTCGTATAACACTACCCTTCAGTCGCGGACACTGCTCTCATGCATTGGTCATACCGACCCCACCCGCCGCGTGTCACCGCTGTACCCCCACCCGCCCGCGGCCACATGTCTCCGCTGTACCCCCGCCCCGCGGCCGCGTGTCACCGCTGTACCCCGCCCCGTCCCAGCCGCGTGTCACCGCTGTACCCCCACCCGCCTGCGGCCACATGTCATCGCTGGAAGGCCGCTCGGAGACAGGTGGCGCCGACTGCTCCCGGTCTGAGGGTCGCAGCTATGTCCGGCATGGCGACGGTCCAGCACTGCCGCCGGCGCCGAGCCGACACACAGTCCCGTCTCCCCTCGCCCCGAGCCGGGACTGTCGTCCAGCACTACCGGCGGCACCCACACGCCGTCCCCATCTCCCTGGAGTGGATCTTTCGTGTAGGACTACCGGCGGACGACACTCCCCCCCCCCCCACACGAGTAAGGCCATCGTCGGGGACTGTCGGCAGCGCCAACACTCCGACCGGCACATGTGCCGGGGCGACGATGCTTCGCTCCTCTCCCACCAGTGACCTGCAGGAGGGCGACATGATGTCCCTCCCCAGTCCCCACTGACCTGCAGGAGGGCGACATGATGTCCCTCCCCAGTCCCCGGCCCCCCTGACCTGGAGGAGGGACACATGATGTCCCTCCCCAGTCCCCGGCCCCCACTGACCTGGATGATGGCGACATGATGCACCGGTCGTCCTTACACTCGCAGTCCTTGGTGTCGTGCTCCATGCCGAAGTTGTGGCCCATCTCGTGCGCCACGGTGGTGGCCACCAGTGACACCTGGACAGACAGACAGATGGGGTCAGCGATCAGCGGGACAGGGTCAGAAGTCAGAACACAGACCAGATACCGGAGACAGACACCTGTACCGACAGACGGACAGGTCAGAACAGAGACTAGAGGCAGACACCCTGGACAGACGGGGTCAGAACAGAGACCAGCGATAGATACCTGGACAGACTGGACAGCGCGGACAGGTCAAAAACAGAGTATCATCAGCACAGACGGACGGATGGGCCAGAGTAGAACACTGGCTGCCCGGGCGATGGAGGTGGGACGCGGCACGACCGTATGGCGACTTCATTATATGATTTGGCGCTCGGCACGTCATGTCTCGAGTCTTCTGAAAAAAAGTGCAGAACGAAACAGTATGCCATGCGTTATGCTCTTCATTCCATATGTGTAATGGAAGCAAATCAAATATAAATCGCATTTGTCATATAAACGGCTACGATGGGCCAGCCTGGCGCGGCGGCCGGCGGCGGTTTCACAAATCACCGACGCACTAGCAGGCCTCCTCACCTGCGGCACACCTGCGCGGCTGGTCGATTGTCCTTCCGTCCCTTCCCCAGTCCCAGCCGGGTGACCGGTGGCCCGGGACAGGATCCGACACAACGCGCTATCACCAACACCAACAACCCCGCACCGCACCACACCACATCACACTACATAACACCATATAACAACATCACTTCGCATCAGACATCAATAACACCATATAACAACATCACTTCGCATCAGACATCAAATCACACCATGCATTACATCACACCACATCACAGCAAATCATATCATATCATATCACATCACACTAAATAAAATAACACCATATAACATGACATCACTCCGCATCACACCAATATCATACATTACATCACACCACGCCAGGTGAGCAGTGACCGACCCCAGCGGACAGGCGCCCGCTGCCCGGCCGCCGGGGAGGGGGGGGGGGGGCTCCGGCTCCCCTCCCTGCCGGCTCGCAGAGCGCGCCACCACCCACCTGTTTGGAGTGGTCCATGTTGACGCCGCCGCTGAACTCGAACGTGCAGATGGGGCCCTTGAGCGCCTTGCCCACCACCCCGCCCTGGAACACTGTTCCCCTGCGAACGAGGCACCGCCGCCGTCAGACCAGCGGCTCGTAGGAACACAGCGCAGTCAGACCAGCGACCCATAGAAACACAGCGCAGTCAGACCAGCGACCCATAGAAACATAGCGCAGTCAGCTAGCGACTCGTAGAAACACAGCGCAGTCAGGCCAGCGACCCATAGAAGCACAGCGCAGTCAGCCAGCGACTCGTAGAAACACAGCGCAGTCAGACAGCGACTCATTGGAACACAGCGCAGTCAGACCAGCGGCTCGTAGAAACACAGCGCAGTCAGCCAACGACCCATAGAAACACAGCGCAGTCAGCCAACGACCCATAGAAACACGGCGCAGTCAGACAGCGACCCCATAGAAACACAGCGCTCTGAGGCTCCAGCCCAGTGAAGCAGCTCATCGGGACACAGCGCTCTCTGCTGATAACGTTCCGCCGCAGTCTGCAGAATAACTCATCGGAGCAGTGTTCCCACTCCTTGGCAAAGGAAGAGCCGCCGCGGTAAGCAGCGACCTTTTACGCCGCAATAAGGCTAGGTAGGCGGCAAGTGTTCCGTCTAGGGCTAGATAATCACACAATTGGGATGGTGAGATAAGGAGACTACAACCGAAAGGAGGCTCGCAGCCACCCCACAGTCGTTCCCGGGACCTGGGGGGCTGGGATCTTCTAAACCGATTGAATACGGTGGTGGTATCGATTGGCGTTACGACCTCCCACGGCAGTATGAGTCAACACGGCTAGTAAACACGCGTAATTTCCATGGATTCCTAAAACACCGTACGCTTGTACGTCGATAGGTGCGTAAAACACCATCCACCTTAAAAAAAAACTTTGATTACATTCTTTTTTTTTTGAATTTTGCTCCCGACAGGCCGAGGCCCTGGTCGGGGTAGGGGGAAGTTACTAGCTGGCAATTAGCCAGATCTTCCGTTTTACTTTACTTTAAAGCCGGCTATGTTATTCCGGCCCAAAGCAATGTACCACCCAGCCAGGGCGTCGGCCCATTCTCCACGGTTCGGTACACACAGTTTCCCACGGTGGTGTCGATATGACAGCACTTTCTCCAGCAGTCACAGGATACTATGGACGGCTATGGCGGCTCCGTCAGCCGGCCACCGCGACGCTGCAGTGCCCTCTCGCCCGCCGCGCCGGATCGAAACCCGGACCAGTCGCGGATCACGTCTGTCTGACCCCCCTCTCTCCCCCGTCCCCGTCCCTGGGGTCAAGAGGAAGGAAGAGCAGTCGGCCGGTGACGCCGCCGCCTTTCGAGGAAACCGGGAAACGGAAACGGCCGCCCCGACCGTAATGGTAATGTTTCGGCACAAGCCACAAATGCAGCCGCCGACGTCCCATCGGGCAGATCCAGAGAACACGGCCGACTCGCCAGAAGGGCGACTGCCAGGCAAATCGTACCAACGGCGCGCATAGCTCAGAGGCCTCATAATCACAGACACGGAAGATTCGGGGATGTGATACTGGAACGGTTCGGTTCAAATGGAGACTAAGGGGATTAGTCAGCGTGGATTATCTTCAAACCGGTTTATTTGTTGAAGGTTTATGTGGTACGTTTCGGTAGAGGCGATACTGCGGATCTCGTCCGTTTGCTTGTTGAGCTGCAGCCAGTGGGCTGCAGACAGGGCTGGGAGTGCCGCGCTCCGCAGCGGCAGACGAAATGGAAATAACGCAACCAAATTGACTCACGTATATCATAATAGCTAGACAGCTGTTGGGAATAATGTGCATGAAGATCTTTGACGATGTGTATCTGAACTATCTTTAATTGTAACTTTTCCCTCGTCAGACTACTCAAAGAGCAGGCAGCAGTTGGATTCGTGTAAGACGCCATGTCACACATTCAGGGTCGCCTGAGCCGTCGGTTGGGAGGTCGCCGCCTCTCCTGCCACTCAGCAGGTGACGGCAGAGTTCCCCACCAAACTGCGCGTCCCCCGTCCCACTGAAGGGGGCACGGACAGCGGCGGTGTGACGGTCGCGGTGATACGTCAGCGTCCCCCGGTAAACAGTGATGGCACCGGCACCGGGCCCCGCCACCCACGGCGCCGGACGGCACGGGGCGGCTGCAGAGCCAGCGGGGTGTTCGAAGACGGACCTCGGGTCCCCGGCACCATCCGGGATACAGAACCCGGCACCGGCCACAGCCAGGGATGCAGACCTCGGAATCGGGACCACTGAGAGATAGGTCCCGGCATCGGGATCCAGCCACAGCCAGGGATAAAGACCTCGGAACCGGAACCATTCAGGGATACAGACCATGGATCCGGCCACAGCCCAGGATACAGACCTTGGCACTGGGGCCATTGAGAGATACAGACCATGGCACTGGGACCATCCAGGATACAGACCTTGGCACCGGGACCATTGAGAGATACCTACAGACCATAGCACTGGGACAATGGCCACAGCGAGGACCTTCTGCGGGACTCAGACCAGTGCCGGCCAGATCACAGCAGCAGGGCAGTCGACGTTTCTGTATCTCTAGGGTAAATAGTGTTCCATTCCCGTGTCGTGGCCGAAGCCGTGCTATTCCGGCCACTCTAACAGCCGGCGGCTATACCGGCCGACCCAGGTGACCGCCCGCCCGAGAACTGAATACAGTTGTCTGAGACACGAGCTGGAGTGTGGACTGCGGGCCGATTGCGATCCAAACATGGCGCGGTCGGTATCTACGCCTTAGGGCAGTGTGAAGCTCCTCATTGTGACGATATTTGAGTGAGCAGTGATCCATCGAGAGAGTGTGTGTGTAGCGACTGACGATGTCCGACACTGAGAAGAATACCGAAATGAAGCCGGCAGGGGCGGCACCGGTGGAGACGTCGACAGAGATGCTAACTCGCCTCCTCGGGCAGCAGCTGGAGCTGGCGGCCAGGCGGGACGAGCAGCTGACCATGCTGCTACAGCATCTCCACCCTCAGCCGAGTACCGGCGCCGGCGCTCACCCAACGGGCACCGGCGCGAGCACCAGGACGGAGGACGCGACGGCGGCGGCTACCGCTGGTGCTCGGCAGCGAGTCAGCCTGCCGGCGACGGGAATGCCAGTTCCCAGACTGCACTCATCGGTATCCCTGATGGAGTTCGAGACATGGAAAAGGAAATTCGACGGATACTGCTTGCTGACACACATCCGTGAGCTCTCCATTCCCGAACAGAAGGCAGCTCTCATCGCCGTCGTGGACGATGACTGGGCCCGCACGATCGATTTTGGACTGCAGATGCCTGCCGAATCGGATCTGGACACCATCATCGGCGCCATGCACGCGTACTTACGCCGTCAGCGAAACGTTATAATTGACCGCAGAGACTTCGCATCCCGTATGCAGCAGCCCGGCGAGTCAATCGATGAATATGTGTGTGCTTTGAAGGAAATCGCCGCGTGTTGCGATTTTTGTGAACAGTGCATCGATGACAGATATCGAGATCATCTCGTGGTGGGCACAATCGACAGTGACGCGCGCCGACGCATGCTCGAGACGACCGACTTGACGTTCGACAAGGCACTGGACATCTGTCGTGCTTCAGAATGTGCTGCAAACAACAGTTATGCGATCACTGACTCTGGTACGGTTGGGAGGGTGTCGCGATACAGCAGTGAACGTGACCAACGGCGTTTTGAGAACGTAAACCGCTTCCCAGCAGATCGGTGCCAACGATGCGGCGCGCCGGAGCACCGAGACCTCCGGTGTTGTCCTGCTCTCGGCCGCAGCTGCAACAACTGCCGCGAGCGAGACCACTTTGCCGTGGTTTGCCACGAACAAGTCGAGCGTCGCCGTGTTGGCAGCCTTCCACGGACCGGTGGATCCAGCCGCGGGCGCGATCGCTCGCGCCGCGGCGGCCAACCACCTGCCGACAGCCGCCGGGGCCGCCGACTGCGATCAGCTGACGCTGACAGCGCCACCTACGCAGCTCGGCCCCGGCAGCGCAGCGCCACCTACACCAACCGCCGCCTGGTTGGGGGCTCTGGTGGCCGTCGGGTAGCGGTAGCTGGCGTCAGCGGAGACACGGATACGGACGCTGATGATCCTGAGTACGACTACTACGAAGACCACGACCACAGTGGAGATCCGGAATCGGCGGCACTCCTGAACGTATACGTATCTGACGTACGACTGAGGACCAGTTCTGTGAAGCGATCTCCTCGTGTGGAAATCGCAGTTCAGTACCGTAACGGTCAAACAGTATCGAGTGCATGGACTCCAGATACAGGCGCCGAGGTGTCAGTCATCTCTCGAAACCATGCAGAACACATCGGAGTCAATCTGGATGATCTGACTCCCTCGAAGACGACACTGTGGACAGCCGACGGACGGAAAATGCGGTGCATGGGAACGTGTGAACTAACGCTACAGCTGGGAGACGTCACACATTCGACGGAAGTGTCTGTTCTACAATCACTGCACACCCCACTCCTGGCATGGCACGACTGTGTGAAACTCGGCATTCTGCCGCCCGAGTTTCCACGGCAAATCCGACGCCTGGAAGACCGAGGACCACCATCGACGGCACCCTCGGCTCAGTCGGACCCCGCGGACAGCAAAGCAGCTCATCATCGGGGAGACAGGCCGTCACCGACTGCTGGGCCGACCGGCACACGCAGCCGCAGCGCGCCGCCAGGGAGTCTGCGTAAACACCCTGTCAGGTCCTCTCCGTCCTGTCCGGTGTCGGAAGAACGTCCTCCAGATTGGGTCCTCAAGATCAAGAAAACAAGCAGCGTCACACCCTCCATTCAAGAACGGCAGCAGCACTTTGCGGCTCTGAAGGCGGAGTTCCCAAGAGTATTCGACGTCGAATCTGAACTGCGTGAAATGGTGGGCGAGCCAATGTCCATTGAGCTCACAGAAGACGCAGTTCAATACGCACAGACCTGTGCGCGCAATATCCCCTTCAACTGGCGAGACGATGTGCGTCAGCAGCTTGACGAACTTCTGCAATTTGACGTTATTGAGGCAGTTGAACACCCGACAGAGTGGTGTCATCCGTTATGCCCGGTA